TTTTTGTATGATTTATTTTGTCTATAACTGACATGATATCAGGTTTATTCTGGGATTTCCAAAGTCTCGCTATGAATGTCTTTGCTGCCAAATGCACATGCACAGCTAACGTAAAAGCGTGCTTCGGGAAAGTATTGGGAATCATATGTAGCAAATAAATCTCTGGACAAAGAGGAAGCGATAAAGACGTAGCATGTATTATGAGCGCCTGTACCTGCTGCCAAAAGTTTGTTAAAACTTGGCATTGCAAAATATATGAATTAAAGTGCCTATCTCCTTACCACATCACTAGCAAAAAGGAGGAACTTCAGGGTAAATATGGGCCAGGTGTTGAGGCATAAGATACCACTTCATCCACAATTTATAGGCTGGTTCAATATGGCCTAAACAATGTGTGGCCCTTTGCACCCCCACCATTGCTGCATACCATCTCCTTGGTTCTATCTTACAATCAAGTTCTTTTTCCCACTCTTCTGTGTAACCCAATTTAAGAGGTCGGCTAACTGTCAATAACTTTTTGTAGCACAAGAACAAGGGCCTCGTTAAAACACCAACTCCTCGCTACAATTTATCAATATCCTGAAGCTTATTTAACTCCACTCCTGCTAATTTATCCTTCTCTAGAATATATTTTATTTGAAGGTATGTAAACAATTCTTTGCTTGGCAATGTATAAGTAGACTGCAGGTCTGAAACTTGTTGGATCCCTCCTTTCCCCAGTATTTGTATTACTCTTTTTATACCGCTCTGACTGCAAATCCCTAGAGACAGGTCACGTGTGCGGTATTGCAAACTCTGCAAAGTGGCATACATGCCTATCGGTAATGATTACATTTTTGGAACACATTTACACCATAATAATAATGACAATTTCGTTGTAGCTAACATTTTGACGTTACGCGGGTACTGTTGGGTTGGAACCCAGAGTCGGTCTATTACTGTATGTGGCGCACTTATTGCTTGTTCCAATGTGTATCACTAAGGGGGAAAAGGTGTGGCCCTCTGAGCCAAGATAGAGGCCACATAATATTTTGCAACATTTGGAACACCCACGCCACCTTCTTTCATAGCAATGCAGGAACTTGTCATGGAAACCCTCTGAGGTTTATGTTTCCATATATGTGCATTTAACATGTGCTGAAATTTCATTAAAAGTGCTTTAGGGATTTCAATCGGGAGGGTGCGAAATAGAAACAATATTTGCGGCAAAACAAGCATTTTTAATGCATTGATGCGGCCTAGCCACAAGGTACTGGACCCACACCAACTCTCCATTATTTAGGTTATTTTAGTCTTTAATTTACAGTGATTTTGTTTCAAAATAATAAGTTTTGAAGTTGACAAATGTGTCACTAAGTAAGCTATGGTGTCTTTCCTCCCTTCAAAATCAGATAGGGCCTTTAGTTCATTCAGTTGGTGATGGGGAAGATTCACCGGAAGCCTAGTCTTAGTCGTGTTGTTTTTATAAAAATACACTTTGCCATATGTTTCAAGAAGCGATATTAAGGGTATGAGGGAGGATTGTGGGCGTGTGAGAAATAAAAGGAAATCATCCACAAATACAACTATTTTTTGGATGCCTAATGGTGTAGAGACACCCTCAATGTCCCGATTCTGTTTAATCTGGTAAATCAAAGGCTCTAGTGCTAAGATAAAGATCACGGGTGACAAGGGACAACCCTGCCTTGTGCCATTAGTAAGCTTAGAATGGTGGGATACAAAACCTGCATTCAACACCTTAGCTGATGACACAGAATATAAAGATAGTAACCCATGCAGAAATTTGCATGGAAAGTGATATTTTTGCAAGACCGCAATCATATACCCCCAGTGGAGCTGGTCAAAGGCCTTGTCTGCATCTAAATCAAGAGAAACGCCAGGCAACTTGTTGTTCGTCATTATTTCAAAAAGATTTAGTGCATGTCGGGTGTTGTCCTCTACCTGTCACCCTGGGACAAACCCTGCCTGTTCTGGAGATACAAGAGTAGGCAGAAGAGGTCCTATTCTATTGGCCATTGCTTTGGCAAATAATTTTTTGTCAGCATTTAACAACGAGATTGGGCGGTAGTTTGCACATATTGTGGGGGGATTCCAGTTTGGGAAGTGTAATAATAGTTGCCTGCAACATTTCTGGAGGTAGATAATCTGACTCCAGAATGTGATTAAAAAGTGCGGTCAAGTGAGGTTTTAAAAGATCTTTAAACTTGGCATAATAGTAGGTGGGCGTGGCGTTTTGTGTTTTTGAGTATCTTTCAATATCTAGGGGATCTCGCTAATTGTGAAGGGCCTATCAAGGTCCTCTGCCTGTTCACAAGACAGCGGAGGCAACTCCACCCCATCTAGGAAGTCAGATATTTCCAGCCTTGTTGGCTTGGGTTGAGCTGGATCTGAGTCCAGATTGTAAAGAATTTCATAAAACAAAGCAAACTCATCAACAATCAATTTAAAATTAGTCAGTTTAATCTTAGCATCTGTGAGTATATAATTTATTTTGATATGGGAGGCCTTATGTTTTAATTGCTAAGCCAGGAGTCTGCCTGCTCTATTCCCCTGTCTATAGTACTCACATTTTAGTTTCCATAACGCCCTTTTCACTTGTTGCAGTTGTTGGGTTTCAACATCTAATCTAAGCTTCTGGAGTAGATCCCTACTCATAGTAGTTGGTTTCAATTTGTGTTGATTCTTGACTTTTGTTAATTCGGCCATCAATTTATTTCTTTTATCTGTAATGTTACGCTTTAAATTGAGCATTGTTTTATCCCATTGAACAGCGCTACAAAATCTGATGGCACTATATAAATAATAAAATAATAATAACATAATAATAATAATCAGATGTCTCTGTATTACTGCCTTATTGGCAAGCCAAGTAGTGGAGACATTCATAAGCTGATAAGGGTTATCCTCAAAAAAGTTTGCTATGGCTGTTCTGATTTCCACTATATGTTAGCCAATAGTGACTCATTTAAATGCCAAGAGCCTCGGCCTCTTGTCGGTTGAAATGTAGTGAACATAATTGTGATTGGAGAATGGTCTGACCAAGTTATAGGCGAAATATTAACGTCCACTAATGTCATATTGCACTATTGGTTCCCTTCAGTTTTGTCTTTCATATAAGTGGGTTCACCTGGATAAAGACATTGAGAATACTCCTGCTTAAAGCACTTTACTTATCTTTGGATTAAGTGAGATCCTTCCATTTGGACTTTTTTTTACTGTGATTTATTATTTATTTGGACTTCCATCTAACTACTGATTATTTTATTTCTTGTTATTGTATTTGGCGCAGCCCTTATTTCTTTTTCTAATTTAAAACTATGCAGTTTAACTGACGTCAGCTAGACCAAGCCTCTTTTAAGACTGTAATCACTTAACTGCAGTCATATATAAACTCTATATACAGTATAGAAATTACTTATATATAAGCATAGGCTGCCTTTAGCTTACTATACCAACCCTAGTGTCCAACATAAACCACAATTACCACCTAAAAATCTATTTTTTTCATCCAACAAAAATTGGAGCTGTTGCTGTCAATAACCTGTTGGTTGTGCTCCAAAATGTCTTAAGATTTATGTATTTTGGGCTCTCGTCCACTCTGGAACCACCTTCCTTGGAAGATTTGAAGGTGGCAGTTCTTTCCCTTCTGGAGATAGACCCCAGTTACGTAGCACTTCCATGTCGACAGTCACATAATTGACTCTAGTAAGGGTGTCATTTCTCCACACCAACAGCTTCGGCAGAGAACTCCAACTGTATGGGATCTTGTGATATTATTGAACGTCAACATCTTGTGATATTATTGAACTCGCCTTCGAGCCATAGTTGATGCTGACAGGTCGGCATATAGGAAGACACACGTAGCTTTTGCAGCATAGCCATTAATCTTTTCTCTGAGATAGAGATTTCTTCCAAAGCTAATTGTGTGGAATCAGAGTCAGAGCCCGCCTCACACATATGTGCAGGTGAGCAGGACCAGCACCTTCTACTTCTGATCTCTGTTTTTCTTTTCTCCCTTGTTTCCTACCTTGTTTGAAAAAGTCTTGGGCTCGCTGAGCTTTTGGCGGAGCCATCTCTGTTTTAATAGGGCAAGCTAAGCATGTCAACCGCCTGCACAGGTCTGCCTTATTGGATCCGGATTGGATTTGTCTGGATCGTTCTGGAACGGTCTGTAGTGGTAAATAGCGGTAAGAAGCCAATTAGTCACTTTGTTTTTTAAAGTATGTCCAAGTATATTCCAAGTATATTCCAAGTATGTTCCAAATATATTCCAAGTATATTCCAAGTATATTTCAAGTATATTTCAACTATATGTCAAGTATATTCCAAGTATATTTCAAGTATATTCCCAATTAGTGATGTCGCTAACCGTTCGCGATCTTCCTGCGAACGGTTCGCCACGGTTCACCACGAACCGTTCGCGGCGAGCTCCGGTCAGCTGACACATCCCGGCCAATCTCCAGCATACCCTCCCTCCCAGACCTTCCCACCTCCTGGACAGCATCCATGTTGAAGCTGCCTTCAACATGGATGCTGTCCAGGAGGTGGGAGGGTCTGGGAGGGAGGGTCTGCTGGAGATTGGCCGGGATGTGTCAGCTGACCGGAGCTCGCCACGAACGGTTCGTGGCGAACCACGGCGAGCCGTTCGCGGGAAGTTCGCGAACGGTTCGCGACAAGTTCGCGAACGGTTCGCGACATCACTATTCCCAATTAGCTGCACTCATGTAATGTCTGGGTTGTTGAATATGAGGTACTTTACAGGTACTTGATTTAACTTTGCTGATATACAGACTCACTGAATTCGACCATCTTTCAACGTGAACAACTTTTTAAATTTTTTTATAAAAAATATTTTTTGGTAGGATACATTACGATACGTTCTGCTTGGTATAGAGGCTGTTTTTTTTAAATTTTATATTTTTATTACTGTCTAGCTGTCCTGCAGCCTCAATTGCAATAGCACCTAATTATCCTACAGCCTTGTTGCATTTGCTATTGCCTCACTTGCCACACTTGCACAACACGCTGGAAAACTGTGCGCGGCCGCTGGTCTCACTGCCCACAATCCTGTACAGTCCTGTACTGCCCACAGTCCTGTTCTGCCCACAGTCCTGTTCTGTCCACATTCCTGTACACCGTTCGCTGTTCTGAAGCACATCACCACCTCTACTTGCGTCAACCCGCGTCTGCTCATCGACTTGTGGGCTTGTGGGCTCTATCATTCCTCAGTATCTCAAATCCTCGTAAATCCACTGCATTTTATGGTGGATATTGCATATTGATATTACAAGGACAAGGGAGTTTCACAGTGTGCCCTATTTTCTTTAAATTTATTTCTGTTTTACTGCATACTATACACATGTAGAGGAACTTTGGTCACCAGTATCCCAGAGTCTGGATTATAACACGCCATGCTACATCTTAGGAGCCACTATTTTGGCTCCACAACAAGTGAGTGCAATCTGAATGTATTACATTTTATCTATATTATTCAAACGTACTGCCCATAGTAGTCCATCTGTGTGTTTTTTAAATCAGTTTTTCCCGGTTTTTCAATTAGAACCTAGAGATACTACAAGAATCCATAAGCAGGGATTATACTGCTCAGCGCATAGTGGTAGAGCTCTTGATAACTCCTCCTATATGTAAGGTCATCACTTTTTTGTTTAGTATCCTATTGTGTGAAGAATACTATACTATATACTTCTCCATCTCTTTACTTTTATTTTTTTGTCCCAAATACAACCGGAAAAAACTGGGAGGGGCTACTCCCTTCTTGTATAAGCATTTTACATTTGCCCGAAAAAAAGAGAGACTCTTGACTGCGTGTTAGAGCTGCTTCCACCATTCAACCAATACAGATTGAGCGCTATACAGCCAAATATATACTCCATAGCATATTAATTGTTGAACTTAAGGTGAAACATATGATTCTAATTCAAAACAAAAACCAGGAGTGGGAAAGTGTGGAGATGATCTGGGTTGGGTGGAGCATCCTTCTCAGTGAGGTCTCCTGCATGATACCTTTGAGCCTACATTATGCATTTTTAAGGTGATTTTAGCTTCTTAAAGGAACAATAACAGAGTAATAACTCTTGTAAAATAATAACATTGTTTTGGCATTGGTTAATATCTATAAAAAAATAGACTTTCACGTATTTCATCCCACTGAGTCATATTTTCCAAGACTGGTGCTTTGTGTCACTGTGTATAATTGGGGCTTTTGCACAACAAGAAAATAACATATATTTATTCCCTCGTTGAATGTCAGGTCAAACATTTGAAATGTTACATGTATTTCAAGCAATATTATTCGGAACAGTGTATTAAATACAAACAACCTGAGGACAAAACTTGACATTTGATAAAACCTAGCATAGTCCTTTAAATTCTCAATATACGATATTGGGGTATAAATTATTTTATGAACGTACATCATATCAGTCCAAGATATACAGGAATGATAAAGCTAGAATGAGAGGAGAAACACTCTGACATTCATGTAATACCTCTAAAAGACGGTGAAGGAACTTTGGACTCAAAGTCTTGCGCTAAGGACCATAACTGAATCATCTTACTGAAGTTGTTATGGCATAAAGTCCCTGTCCCTACAGCCTTTCTTTTTAAAAATATTACATTCCAGAAATGAAATCCTTTTTTTTTTCTTCTGTGTGAAAGATTTAAGCAGCATTAAGGCCAGTGGGAGTTAATATAAATATCTCATGTAATGAGATAGTGAGGTAACCACTTGCTAATCATCTTATGTGGAATATAACTCTTATTAATATTTTCCAATAGATGGCTGACTCTGAAAAGAAGTTTAGTCCACAATAGCCTTATTTAACAAGTCACCATTTTAATTGACATAAACATTAATACTTAAAAATTACTTCAGCTAATACAGCCCCAAAATATGATTATTTTTTTACAGGGTCCTTAATTCTCAATAAAGACACTAATCTTTATGAGAAGTTTTGGTCTGGAGACTTACCTTTTTAATGCTTCTCACTGTGAAGCATTTGAGTGGACAATGCCCAGCACTAACAAGGAAGTAAGTGCTGGGCAAACAATGGTCTGGATCTTCATTAGCTAAGGAGGCCAGTTCTGCAGCTAATGAGAGGTACGCTTGGAAAATATTTGCCAACATTAATTAAATGCGTGAAAATATGAATTTTTGGACAGAGTGTTTCCTTATCAATGTATTCTGTTGTCACAGTTCACAAATCAGATGCTTTGTAGAATGTAGGACATGTAACACTACAGTAAAAAAAAAAGCACCAATAAGGAGTATAACCTGCCATTGGAATGTTTGGGTTTAACAAAAGATTAAACAAAACTGAAAAAAACTGAGAAGTCCAACAAACAAAACTAAACTATCAGGGAGGTCCTAAAAATCAGGGAGCCATGTGGGAGTATATCCATAAACAAGCCAATGATTGGTAACAGGCATCAAACAGTATCATAGCTAGGAAAGCCAATATCAGGACAATGGAGGTCTGTACTGATGAGAATAGAAGCCAATGAACCAACACAACAAGGAAATATTTTAGCAAAGGTGGGTACGGTGCCATTCATGGTGCTATCATGCACTAATATCAGTAGACCAGCATTTGACAGTTACTGCATCATTAATGGTGCCAGTGAGGCGCAAATGTTTTGTGTGCAAGATCTTGAGTTGTGTCCTTTCTGTATACCAGATAGTGAAGTATATCATTTTGGGGTACAAGATTGAGGTACTTCAAAAACCGATGGCTGGAGAAGATATTTGATATCAACAATAGGGCCAGTAGCATGCACATGGTGTGCAAGTGACTAGACTCGGAGATTAATTTCATTATGACCTGCAATTCAGCCAAATTTGGGTAATTGTAAGAATTCCCACAATTTGAGTTAAAATGTAGCTGAATCATGTTTATTTCATAGGTATGATATACAGATCAAGTGAAGCGTCACAATAGACGCTTACAAATCATTTCATGTTCGCAAAATTTGAACGAGCTGAGCCACCATAAGGTCGAAATTTGTGAATCATGAAAGCCCCCTTGGGCATCAATTATAGTAGACTTATCAAATGTATTAGAATTCAAAAACCTACTCAAACAATATAAAGAGACCATAATGCCGCTGGATAAGCAACATGGGAGAGGTCTCACCAACCACCTGGAAGAACTTCAAGCCATTGTCTGATATGAGAAACTATAGCTCAGAGATTCATAGCCTGATCATCCACCATGGATGGCCATCTGTGCAAAATGTTGCAATTAAGCAAGTCCCAGCAGATTGTACTGCTTTGTAAGCCATTGCTAGGTCTCATCCAGAAGGGACAACATAAAATATATACAGCATTAAGCGTCTTAGAAGTAGTTAAATTGTGCTTTAATATCAACCTGAATAAAACAGCAGCAGTATAAGGTTAAAATCACACATTATTAAGAAATGGTCGTCGATAGTCCCAAACACTAGTTAGCAATATAAAGTGTGTGTAAATATAACCGTGCCAATCCTATGTGTTTTGCCTCATAAAGGACTTCTTCAGGGTTTTAAATACACAAAACACGATACACAAATGAATTATAAAATGGAGAAGAGAAGTCTGTGTCCAAACTCCAATCAGAGGTTGAAATCTAATTAGTGAAATAAAGGCCTAATTTCCTGTAAATGTTTCCACAGGATAAACTAAACAATATAGCTAGAATATGCAAATACAATGCAAAGACATTTATATGCATGCCTTCTAAAAAGAGGTGCTCTGAGTTGGGCTGTAATTTAAATGCTCTCCATATACCAAGATATCAAAATTAATATGGTACACCCAATGTATCCACCCACATAGGCATCTAATTAATCTCATCAGTGAAACTCTTTATACAAACTTAAATGTCAAAAAAATTTCTGTCTACAGAAATGATTCACTTACAAAGCTTGCAGCCTTAAACTAAATATGATTTCATGTTACAGTGATGAAAATAGTATTCATGTATACACACAGATTTGCACATTCACATATAGAATCACACAATCAAACTTACATATCCACAATTACAAACAGAAATGTACATACACAAACACACAGACACACATTTACCATCATACACACATTCATTAATTTATTCACTTGTGGAAGTTAAAGGGACATTCTTCCTGTACACACTAGCTTGCTCCAGAACTTTATGTCACAAGTGCCACATCTGCTTGTTGGAGTCCAGACCTGTTGCTGCTCCTTCACATCTCCTCCTGCTTCATCTAAAGTCCCTATTTCTGATGCTTCTGCTCTGGTGACTCTGCCCAACCTTTACTGATCCTGCCTTCCTACCGAGGTCCTGTCTCACTGATCCTGTCATTGTGATGCCAGTCTATCTTAATTGGGCTGCTGCAACATGGTGCACATAGAGTGGGGTACATAGGGTCTCTTTCCTCATGAATACAGGTGGGGGCTGGAACTATTTGCAAATTAGTTCATCCAAATTCTGATCATTTTAATTTTGTAACTCCGTAATCTCAATATGGACAAATCACGAAACAACCAAAATGGACAATGGACGGACAGTTAGATTGTTTTTTTCATTTGGAGTTCTGATCGGAAAAACAGATGATTGGTGGCTACGGAACAGCTACATAATGCTGATTTTTCAGATCAAGCGAGAAGTGACCAGAATTAGAAAAAACTGAGAGCAGTAACAAAATCTACATTTATATAATATATAGTTTTTTTATCAATATCTTTTTATTATGAGAAGAAGAGAAAGGAGTGCAGACAAATTCAAATTTGTAACAGTATACAAAAAGTTACATACATAACAGCAGTAGTCACAATACATTGCATAGCATTCCCTAGCCATTATTGGACTCCCTTCTACCGGTATGTTTTATTATTATTGTGTGAAAGACCCCCTAACTGGGCCGTGGACAAAGGAGGGAACCATTTCGTGGTCTGGAGTTTATCACTTAATGCTAGTTATAGGGCTCTCGCCCAGTGGGTTATAATAGGTTCTGACTAACATTTTACATTCGCCTTTTCCATATGTTCGTAACGTCTCAACCTGTCTCTTTATGTGTGAGCTGCACCCATGAGGAGCAGAATAGTGTGTATCACTGAATATTTGAGTAAAAATGAAGGGCGAGGAGGGGAAGAGAGGAGGGGAGGGAGAGAAGGGATGGGGCATGACTTGGTTATCTAGATTTATGCCTATCGTATAGCGTCCGGGTGAGGTAAGAGTAGGTT